GGTAAAAGCAAAGGAAAGCCATTGTTGGAGAGGTTTCCCATAGCTTCCTATGCTTGCAGGTCCCACCAAGGCCTGGGTCTCCAGTGACACCACTCCACCCAGGCTAGCTGAATTGGGGAAGTCAATGGGAAGATTGTTCAGATTCTGCCACCTTCTTAAAAAATCTATCATTGTCTTCCTGTGTCCTTGCCACAGCAGCTGCAGTTTTTCTTACACAGTACCAGAAACTACTAGACAACAACTACCAAGCCTTTGACTCCACTCCCAACAATGCACTTTCTTTTTCAGTTCCCTACTGAAGCCATCATGCCTGCTCTCCCCCCAAAGCTCAGTCAACGAGTAAGAAATGAGGAACATGTGCACTGCCAGGCCTGGTGGACCCAACAAAGATACACAAGAGTTCATCCTTTATCTTTTGTGCCTTTTGTCTCCAATATAAGCGCCAGTCTCATTACATGCATAGGGAAGATGATGGAGATGTGTCTAAAAAGGACACATCAATCTTAGATGAAGACAAGCAGTGAATGATTGACAACACAGAAGCTGGACTGCTCCATAATTTGTTAAAGGAACCCTGAAAATACAATGGCTCCTGTTCCCCAATAAGAGTGGGACACACGTACAGAGTGATGTACGTCCTGTCAATTAGAAAAATAAAAGCACGTTAGGGCCAAACCACACAGTGACAAAAGGACCTACCTAACTTCAGCATCTAGGAATCCCGTTAACACAGAGCCCTGCAAAGGATTTGACACTTTCAATCCTCAGCCAGGTGGAGGATGCTCTCCAGTAACAGAATACCAGCTCTAAAAATGCAGATAATGAATGCAAATGCAGAAAAATATCCATGCTCTAAAGAAAGCAAAAATAGGAAAGGAAACTACCAGTGCGCCATTAGCACTAAAAACACAACAGTGATTTCACTTAATTCCTGTGACTCTGGGGAAGAAATTGACATAGCCAGACTTGTGTACCAGTAGTCACAAACTTCCAAAAGGCTAGGTGTGGTAGTAAATGCTTTTAGTCCAGTACTTGAGAGGCAGCTCTATGAATTCAAAGCCAGCCTTGCTTGTATAGGAAGTTCCCAGTCAGTTAAGACCTACTCACAAAGAGATGGAGGAGGGGGGAGGAGGAGGATAGAAACATAAAGAAGTCAATTTTTCTCTTTAGTGTGGGAGTCACACTGTTAGTAGTCCAAGTCCTTTGTAGCATTTGTCATTACTATTAACAGCAACAACAAAAATAGATGCTTCCTCAACACGTAACATAAGGAATTATCCTAGAAAAGACAGCCTAGAACCTTATACAGACATGCATGCCAAGTCATACTTGTGGAGACTATAACAATGTGTAAGTGGATATCCTCAAAGACAGTTTACACAGCAATGAAATGAGCTATGCTGTCCCTTAACATCCCTGTGAAGTCCCACTGTGTCGTTTGTTAAGGAAGATGTGGACAATATAAGTTTGGGGAAGTAACTGCTGGTTATCTAGCATGAGTTAAGAGTTAATAAGAACTAACTGTTCTTAGCATGGTTGTCACACCTATAATGGATGCACTTAGGAGATGGCACAGAAAGGTTGTGACTTATGGTGGACAGTGAGGTCTTAGCAGATTGGGGATGGGGTGCATCTTGGGCCACTGGTTTAAGGAGTTGGAGAAAAGAATGAGAGGCTCTAAGACACACTTCAATTTCCTGATAGAGTGGGGACCTTGGCTGGAGCAATGCTGTGGATGGCACCCACCTGTGGGGGCCGAGGCTTGTAGGGAGAGCTGCACTCCAGATCAGCCAGGATACTGGTCAAGGAATCAATTTCGGCATCCAGACTGGACCGCCTTTCCTCCAGGGTCTTGCCTCCAGGATTTCCCTGCTAAAAACATACAAATTAACATTCAATAAACATCCATGGATAACATTAGGAGTTCAGATCTCTCATGCTATAATTTGCTCTTTTGTACTGTTTCCTGTATACTTTTTTTCCCCAAAAGTTGTTTTTGTTTTTTATCACATAATAAAGTGGACAGGAAGAAAATTGACACTTTTTGACAGATAAGAAAACAGGGAAAAGAAAAACTTAAAATGTTCTCTAAAGTCATATATGTAGACACTCTGTTTTAAGTAGTAGAAATCAGGGCCCAGATGCCTGCACTGAAGGACCAGAACCACTGAGGCCCTCCACGCAGAAATTGTTGATGATAATTTACCAGAGAAGCAATGGATAAGGAGGGGAAACTGTGTCCCCTAAAAAAAAAAATCAACACTTGGCACCACATATTATCTGGTTGGTGGAAGTAGGCACATTCATGGGAGGGGAGCCCAAGCAAGGCTCATAAAACATGAAGTAGAAAGAGGTCACTTAGGACTGTGGCCACAGAGCTGTACATGAAGCAGGTCACTTAGGACTGTGGGCACAAAGCTGCACAGGAGGCAGGCATAGTGAGCATTTAAAGTATATGTGAGGGAACTGGGGAGGAATGGGATTTATCCATATTACCTACCCTCAGAAACATTTCTCCCCTGCCACCTCCCCCCGCTTTTTTTGAGTACATTTCCCACCATGCAACTTTCCCTGAGTTTTGGAAGTCATTTAAATGTGGTAAGGCAACTTGTCTGTATGCAAAGACAGTCAGCACAAGCTAAGCTCCTACAGACCTGGGTTTCCAGCAGGCAAACTGGGAAGGTAGCTAGCTACACGTGTGTTGAAACTTGGAAATTAGCTCCATAGATCCTACCCTAGACGATCATCTTACCCCACTGTGTATGAGCCCTCTTTAAATATGGGCACCTGTAGGCAAGTTGTTAAAGTAGTCTTCTCATGGCTTTGCCACTGGGGATATACTGCTGAGACTACTCTGGCATGTTATCCCCTCAATCTGCTCTGTTTACTTTTCCAGTCATATCGATTACCATCCAAACATCCTTTACATCCATTTGTACACTGCCCTTCTCATGCCTACAGTAATGCAAGCTTGATGAAAGTAAAGATATAACTTGTTTTGGTCCCACTATTTCCCTACAGTCTTGCTTAGGGCATGGGCTGTGTAAGTATTTAAGTAGGCATTTAAAAACATTATAGATGAATAATGACACTGTCAGTATTCCAAGGATTTTCATTCATTTCCATCCTTGTATCAATGCCTTTCAGGTAAGGAGCATGGGGTATACCAGAAAGTAGGAAGTACTCTACTATAGGATCTAAAATTGAAATCAAATTGTTCAGAGTAGGTGTGACTGTGAGTACATTTATTCAAATGAGTAGCAGGCTGGGGAGCACCAGCTTCAAAGGTTGGATTTATGAAACCGAAAGATTACCGTCAGAACCCTGCCCCAGCCCACATTGGAAAACGAGTGGTAAAATAGGTAGGTTGTGTTTTTGCTGGAATCTGAGTTTCAGTCTTATTGAACCTTTTAATTTTACATTATTTTATTTATTATTAGTGTGAGAGGTAGGGTGTGTGTGTGTGTGTGTGTGTGTGTGTGTGTGTGTGTGCACTCACTCTCATGTGGGCACTGGGCTTTAGTATGCATTGAAGATTAGAAGATAACTTTGTAGAGTTGGTTCCCTCCTTACACACACACACACACACACACACACACACACACACACATATGCGCGCATGCTGTGGAGACAAAACCCAGGTCGTCGGACTTGCCCATCAAAAGCATTTAACCACTGACTCATCTCACTGGACCATGACTAAACTACAAAGGTTGATGAGTGTTTATCAGAGAAATAATGCTGATGTCTCTATCGCAGGGTCTTATCTTTACCCGCAGTTCAACAGTATTAACATGTGAAAAAAGGAAAGACAAAGATTTCATTTTGAAATGTCAGAGAACATGTGGCATAGCCAGAGCTGGCACTAGGTGAACAGGGAGGGCACAACATGCCACAGGACAGTGACAGAGAACCCAATGAATTTGGTTTTCCTGTGTGTGGACCTCAGATTATCATAAGCAGAAATGTGATGGACGTATCCATACATACACATAGCTAGCACAGTAAATTGGCAAGAACACTGGATGGAAGTCTGGTTAAACGCTTCTCTGAGCCATAGTTTCTTCATCTGGAAAGTAAAGAGACCATCACCTGCCCGGCCTCAGCCAGAGAGCTGTTAAAGACTCCGATAAGAAAGTTGATGGGAACATACTTTGTAAATTGTAAAGTGCTATAATTATGATGATTTTCATAAATGGCATTAATTATAACAACCAGTAACTGTAAATTAATAGGTATAATATAGCTATTGTTAATTCTTCTTCTTCTGGAGGTAAGCATCACTCATTAAGTGTTCCCTTGGGGTACCAGCAAAGACAGGATATAATCAGGTCCAACTTCTATACGTTACTGTAGCACAAAATACCCAACTGCTTATAGCCTGAGTCACAGGATTCTAACCACAGAGACTCAAGTCACAGGATTAACCTGAGCGAAACAGTGCAACAAGTAATTATGGAGTGCAACCAGTCCAAGCTTGTAGACCTCCACCAGCAACAGTCTCTTACGCTCTTCTCTATGCTGGGACTGATCCCCACTTCCCTTTCTCAGATTAGGTTGCAACCACTGACTAAGGAGCCCCAGCCTCATTCTAGTGGCTTTTACAGGAACAACCCAAGTTGCCCTACCTGACCTCATTTTGATCCTCATTGGGAACAAGGAAAGGACACTTTCTCCCTCCCAGATGTCTCTTTTTTATCTTGGCTCCATTTCTGGAATTCTGTCTAAGTTCTCACAAAACCCCTTTCTTGATACTCTCAACCACTCTTCAGTATGCTAGGATTTATACACTCTTTTGCTCTTCACAAAGCAGTCCTAAGAGTACCTAAAAGAATCCAACAATCTTACAAAGATATCTTAATAGCACATTCTCACTGTGGTTCTGCCAGTCATCTAATAGTTAAATAACTTCCCAGAGGCTAAAGACCAACTAGGATGAGTCTCCTGATGCTCTGACTGATGTTTGTTCTAGATATCGCAGACACTCAAATAAAGTGGCTATTGTAATAAGTTCCCACACTCTCCAGGCATAACTAGAAAGATCCCATTGTCCAAATCTGCTTTCCCTGAGAAACAATGCCGGTGACACAAGGCTTGTATGTACGTTACTTGGAAGTCACTCCTAAGGACTAGTGCTGAGGGAACAGGAAGAGTGACAACCATTCAGAAGGGTCAGACTGAGCTCATCAGCAATGTGGGCAATTCATCTATCCTCTAAGGAACTCATGGACTTGTTCTGAAAAATGACCCTTACGTCTCCTTTATGTGACACTAGGAAAGGATCTCCCACCCAAACAACTTAGGAATAGAAAACAATTTCACCCAGGAAACTAGTAATGCAAGCAAAACATAATTATATGCCATTGTATATGCCATTGTTACTGTCTTTTCAAATTTATTTTTGCTCAGTGATCCAACATGAATGCAAATATTGTTTTTCCTATTACAATTATTAAAATTCATTATTCTCCAACTTCTAGGATCAGTGGGAGAAAAAGATATAATCAACAAAACTTAAAATGTTTATCTAATTTAGTTATCAATTGTATAATATACATCACATATTATGATGTATATTATTTGACATGATTAATATATGCTTTATTTCTTTTTAACTAAAGTATTTTCCCCAAAGATCACTGGACACAAAAGTGAACACAAGTAAAGATTCTAGACTCAGATCACAAGTATTTGATACATGGATCTAATATTTGCTTGCTTTGTAAATTTAAAATATTGAACTTAGATTCTCAATCACACCATAAAGATAAGAATTCATACTTGTTATAATTTGATCGCAGTAGCAACAGAACAAATGATGCTTTAGCTTGCAACAACTCAACTTCACATGTAATATTTAAGCATATTCTGATACAAAAAAATTTCAATAAGCTGGGTATGATAAGTGACATTCATATATTTTCCAGTGTTTGGATACCTACAAGATTCATGTTGGGTGGTTCTCAAACATTTTTGCTTTCAGTTCTTTCAATGATCCCACCAGCAAAATAGGAAAACAAGAAAAACTATTTTGTACTAGTCAAGTATTCCACGCTATGTAACCAGAGCTATGAAAGAGCAGACAAGTGAGCAGAGAGAAGCTCCTGTAACTCTCATGGCTCCTATTCTAGAAGCTAAGAGCAGCCTTCTGTCAACTTGACACAAGCCAGAGTCATCTAAGAGGAGGAAGCCTCAACTCAGAAAAGGCTTCCAAAAGATCTGCCTGTAGACCAGGGCTATGGGGCATTGTGTTGATTAATGATTGACCCCCTAGGCTGTTGGAAAGGGAGCTAGATGAGGAAGCCAGTATATAGTGCTCCTCTGGGGTTTCTCCTTCAGTTCTTGCCTCCAGGGTCCTGCTCATCTTTGAGTTCCTGATCTGACTTCTCTTGGTGATGGACTGTCAACTGGAAGCATAACATGAAATAAACCCCTTTCCTCCCAAGTCACTTTTAGTCATGGTGTTTTATCACAGCAAAAGAAACCCTAACTAGGACAACCACTAATCAGGGTGTGCAGAGAAGGCATATCATGAGAGTGATTGGCAACAATTAGCATAGAAAAGGGCAGGCAGGCTAATGAAATGTTAGACCTAGAAGGCAAAGGGCACTCAAATAGCTCTTCCTACAACCTCCTTCATCCATGCTAAAATTCTCAGAGAGATGATTTGGCCCTTCTATGATAAGAGCTCATTAGCAGTGCTGAAAGGATAGAAGGTGGCCCACTTCCCCCCACATACTCTGTAACATCTCCAATGCCAAAACACATAGATTGCATCAAAGGCTCATTTCAGAAGCTTATAAAATAAACAGGGAAGCTAATTTTACTCCCTCTTCCAAATGAGAAAACCTAGACACTAGAAGGACCCAAGA